GGACTGGACTTGGGCACTTGAGGAAGGCCCAACTGTGGCTTCTCTTTTTTAGAAAAGATGCTGGTGAACAAACACTGGAATATGATATCTGGAAGAGTCACTCAGAGTTTCGTCAACAAGTCAGTGGGGCTTTCATCAGAGGGAGTACTTACTGATCAGGGCGTGCCACATGGTTTATTTGTAGTGTCCAGATTAGCTCTTTTCAAGGTCATCTTAATACCAGGTTCAGCCTTTGGCCTCTTTCACCTGATGAATGCCAACTCAATATATTCAGTGTGCCTAGCTTCTTTCTATAACATTTGTATATGCAAGACATGCAGTGGTTCTTTATCTAGTGAAACTGTGTGTGTGAGCACATGTGTGTGTGCATGTGCGCGCATGTGTGTGCATTTACATGTGTGTGTGTGCGTGCGTGCGTGCGTGTGCACGTTCAGGGATTTCACTCATCAAACAACTCCACACATAGCATTTCCCTTTTACAGTTTTTCTTTGTATGATGAGTACTTGATTAGTCTTAAGCCTGGTGACCTGAGTTTGATTCCACAGGACCTACAAGGTGGCAGGGGAGAATTGTCGCCTGCAAGTGGTCTTCTGACTGCCACACGTGTTCTGGAACACAGACAGGCACACACATACACACACTCACTCACACACATTGAATAAGCAAATGTAATTTTTAGAAATTTATGGGACTGGAGAGATGGCTCAGAGGTAAAGAGCGTGTACTATTCTTACAGGACGCCTGAGTTTGGTTCCCACACTGGGTGGCTCACTCATCAGCTCTTGCTTGCTTCAGGGAGTTTGATACCGTCTTCTGGGCTTTATAGATACAACATACATGAGCATATCCGCAAAGGTGTGCACACACACACACAGACAAATTAAAAACCAAAAAAAGAAACAGAAGATGAATTAAAATGCACTCAATCACCCCAGGGAACCCTGGATTCTCATGTTTTGTCATGGTGAAGAAAGGATGGAGCCTATATGTCCTGAAAAAAATAGGCAAAAAAGGCTCAGACCAGGAGATTTTTTTACGTGTGTGTGTGTGTGTGTGTGTGTGTGTGTGTGTTTTGTTTTGTTTTGTTTTGAGACAGGGTCTCAATATAAAGTCCTGGTTGGCCTAGAACCTGCTTTGTGGATCAGGCTGGCCTTGAACTCACAGGGTTCTGTGTGTCTCTGCCTCTGGAGTGCTGGGATTAAGGTGTGAGCCAGGAGACCAAGGGATGTTGAATGTCCCTGCTAGTACCAGATGGTCATGTCTCTAATACTTGTCTGAGGACTACAAGAATCTTATCTAATTCCAATTCTGACAACACACAGAGCCTAATCTCTCCAAGAGTAGCAAAATGTCAGTCTCTACTTGGCTGCCGGATGAACATCTCTAACCTATCACATCTGAAACGGGATTCTTAGTACACCCCATTGACCCACACTAGCTGTCACTTAGTTTTCCCATCTTACTAGAATGGCTTCATCACCCATCCACATGCTTAAGGCAGGCATCTAAGGGCTATTAGATTTTCCTCTCCTTCCTCGGGACCAACCAGTTATTAAGTCCTATTAGTGGGACCTACAGTCTTGCTGTTCCTGGCTTTCTCAAATCCACTGCTCTCGTCAGCATCCTCACAGGCCTCTCTGGGAGCATATTCAACAGCTTCCAATCTCTCCCTTCTGCAAACCACCTTCCAGACAACCATTTTAGAAACCTCATTCAGACCTGCGCCTCTCTGCTCAACACCTTGCTAGTGGTTTCTGACAACACTTGGAATAAATAAATCTGAACTCTTTGTTTGGATTTATGATACTCTAAGTCAGGGTTCTCAACCTGTGGGTCGCAACCCAACTGCGGTCACATATTAGATAGCTCGCATATCGGACATTTACATTATGATTCACAATAGTTAGCAAACTAGCTGTTGTGAAGTAGCAATGAGATCGTTTTAGGGTGTGTGTGTGTGGGGGTCACCACAGCACAAGGAATTGTAATGAAAGGTCTCAGCATTAGGAAGTTTGAGAGCCCCCGGCCTAAGTGATCCATCCTGTCTCCGTTCACATCTTACTCCTTTCTCTCTCAGCCCCTTGGCCCCACTAACTGGTCTGCCTTCTCTGAACCTGCTCATCCCACTCCTCTCGTGGACCTGTGTACCACTTCTTTCTTCTGTGTTCATTAGTCTTCCCATAATCCCATGCTGGTTCCTCTTCTACCATTCTGTCATTATACTAGGAAGCATCTGCCTGAAAGAATCGTCTTCTATCCACCCAGTGTAAAGTAGATCACGACTCTTTGGTAAGTCATGGCAGTGCGAGACCCATCGGGACAGAGATCTCGTTTTGACCACGCAAACATCCCTAGCACAGAACGGTGCTAGCACAGGAAAGGAGGCCCAATGCTTGTTGTGTAGATGCTGGATGAGAAGAGCATGTCAGCCTTAAGGTTCCCGGTCCCCTTCTCCTGTACCCTGTGCCTCAGCTCTGTTCTGTGCTAGGCCAGTTAATGTTTCCACAGGTGGATTTGTACAGACATCAAGGCCCTGGAGGGCAGAGATGGCTTCTTATAACTGTTCAGAATGTGTGTGTGTGTGTGTGTGTGTGTGTGTGTGCGTGCATGCCTAGCACAAAGTTGAACATATATATCTACTGTCCAACAGGGATCTGAATTACATCTGTGTATGCCACCTATCACTTAAAGGTGGACCAGAGGGCCTGGGAACGGCTGTCACTGAACGAGGACCTGCCTAGCAGCTACAAACGGCTCTGTTCCCCAGCTCAGCAAGCAAACAACAAAATCCTTTTTAGCATCCTTACATTTTTTTTTACATTTATAGAATCATTTTGACTACAACAAGAAGTTTTGACACGGTTGAGAACTGTTCAGAACCAGAGACTAGAAACAATCAGAAAGCCACATGAGCGTTTCATAAAGGTAAGTTAGAAAGTTACACATGGTTGCATATGGTCTTTTTTTTTTTTTTTTTTTTTGAGACAGGGTCTTCCTATGTAACCCTGCATGGGCTGGAATTTGCCATGCAATCTAGCTAGCCTTCTATCTCTTTGTCCCACGTGCTGGTGTTAAAGGTGTGTGCTGCCACACCCAGATAACATATGTTCTTTTTAAAGTGCTTCTATCTGAAATAGAATTACATCATTCCCCATCTTTCTTCCCAGTTACCATCCCTCAAAGTCGTCCATGTCCTCCCCACTCTCAAGTTGAGAGCCTCTTTTGCTTTGATTATGTGTTACATGTATATACATACATACATATATAAAAATATATTTAACATTTAAACTATATAAATAGACTCTGCTGGATCTGGTTTTTGTTGTTTCTGTGTATATGGTATCAGGGCTAATCAGTCTGCATTGGACAACCACTAACGGGGCTCTTCCCTAGGAGAAGCTAACTCTCCTTCTCCCAGCAGTCAGTAGCTGCCTGTAGTTCTTTGTCTAGGGCTGGGACCCTGCAAAATGGTTCCTCTTCCACATCAACGTGTCCATTGATGTCCTCATCGTCCTGGTCTTGTTTATGCAGCCACTTCTAGGAGATACTGTTTCTGCACACTGCCTGGTTTTCTGGCTCTCGCAATCTTTCTACCCACTCTTCTGGGATGTTGCCTGAGCCAAGGATGCAGGAGCTAGGGTGTAACTCTATCCATTGGGCGGGGCTCTCCACGATCCATTGATCTCGGCATTATGTCTGTTTGTGGCTTCCTGCGATGGTCTCCGTTTGCTGTAAAAAGAAACTGCTTTGATGAGGGGCGAGAGCCGCACTTATGTATAAGGGATAAGATTTAGAATGTAATCGCAAATTGCAAAGCTGCAAAGCTGCAGTAGTAGATTCTTTCCTGCGGCCCATGATCTCACTAGCCCCAGCCAGGAAGCTGGCTAGGCTTCCAGTACTGGGCACGGTTTACCTCCTGTTGAATGAACAACAAACTTCTTCAAGTTAAAAGTGGAGGGGAAAATCAGTTTCCTGAGTCCATAAGGAGTTCTGAACCTGAGAGCCAAGGAGAGCACAGTTCTCCTGAACAGTTTGTGTCGGTCTGACGCTCGCACAACTAATGTGAGAGCCAGGCCTGGTGGTCGGTCCGGTCCTTCCTTCTCCGGTCTCATTTTGCTCCTCAGTCTCTGTTTTCTCTAGAAAATTCAAGTTTGCATTTTAGAAGGCATCACAGGTCCTTTCCCCCTCAACACCCATCCCTGTGGCCTAGCAGAGAAAAATTCCCGTTGCTTTTCCACTTGGGAGCAACAGTAACAACAACAAAGTTCAATCCTAATCAGCCCATGACAATCATGGGAAGGAAGACACGCGCCACTACATCTCTGACAGGCTTTTACAATCTAGTTTTATTATTCGGCTCTCACGGAAATGCTAATCCCTGAGAAGGAGAGGAGGAAGATCTCCCATGGTTCTTCAGCACGAACAGCTTACTAAAAACAGGAAGTACAGGCCACATCACTGTCACTGCAGGGGTACATGAAGAAGGAAGGACCAGGAGCCCTTTATTGTCACCACAGAGGGAAAGGACAAGGGATGGAGAGTAACTTGTGGAATGTGAGGGAGTGGGTGAGGGAGACAGGAAAGTAGGTGGGCACACCTTCCTCAGACATGAGCCATGGGACAATGGCCAAAGCTACCAGTGAGATGTGAGTCTGGACATTCTTGGTGACATACCCTAACAGGATGGCCTGGTGGCCATTTTTAGAGCAGTGTTAGGTGTTGTAATGAGGAGTGGGCTGCGTCCCTAGCTTACACCCTAAACAATTACACAGAAATTGTATTCATTTAAACACTGTCTGGCCCATTATTGGTGAACTCTCACATCTTGATTAACCCATATCTATTAATGCGTATCGCCACTTGACTGTGGCTTACTGGCATGAGTCTAACCAGGGTCCATCTTGGGCAGGAGAATCATGGCGTCTGCCACACTTCCCTTCTTCCTAGCATTCTGTCTGTCTACTCCGCCCACCTAAGGGCTACCCTATCAAAAGGCCAAGGCAGTCTCTTTATTCAACCAATGAAAGCAACACAGAGATACAAAGGAACTCCTACACCATTTCCCCTTTTTCATCAAAACTGGAAAAAACACACTAAGTTCTTTGTCCCATGCATCTGACGATTGATTCCTACGGTTACTGGGTGAAGGTTTTCTCTGCAGTTGTCAAAAGAATTAGACAAGTGAGGGCCTTAGGTGGAAACGGGTGGGGGTGCACTTTTCCCAACTCCGCCTGCAGGCGTGGCCGCTCTTCTCCCTGAGCCATAGCTCTCTGAACAATGGGAGGCAGAAGAATTCAAAATGAATAGCAGACAGCCTTTCTTTGGGACCTCTGCTCCATTTCTCTTAAATCCACCCTGCTTTCTTTAGAGAACACAGGCATTTGCTCCTGGGCCTATGTTCATGGTTGCTAACATGAGTATAATTGAAAGGATTAGTGATATCTTCACCTCTTTGTTTTGTTAAAAAAAATGATTCCATTTCTGAGTTTAACTTGCTTGGAGAATATGAAAAACCTGCGATCTAGGTTTTTATCAATGAAGGTTCGTGTTTTCTCAATCTTTGAAGGAATCTTTGAAGGAAAAGCTCTTTGCTCTTTGAAACAAGATGATCCGTTCCCATTGAAGGTTTCTCATTGTGAAGTCCAATGTCAAGGGAAAAGTTAATGGGTGAATTACAAGTGCTCACCACAATGGGACCGGGTTTCTATAAGACAGAGAGAGGAGGCTGAATGAAGCCGGCTGTTTCTTCTCTATAAAAACACAGAACTAATGACAGTTCCTCTGCAACCAGGGAGGTCTTTCTGTTCTGTTCAGCATTTGTCATAATTGCTCTGTCTTCCTTTGGCCAAAGCTCTCCTGGGCTGCTTCTTTAGGACAACAGAGAAAGCCAGAAATACCCCTGCAGGAGCATGCCCACCTTACCCATTTCAGGAAGGTATGCGAGATGAAATTTGCTCTTTTCTTGGATTAGTTCATTTAGCATCAGTGGTCAAGGTAAGTTAGTTCAAGCTCATTTTGTGGTCATAGATAGCCCCATGCTGTCTGGGTTGTTCCGAAGGCATGGGGGATGCACGTGGACCCAATGCTACTGCCAAACTAACATTGGCTGGTGGGTGTAACTAGTATCTAAGATGTAGCTGATGGGACAAGACACTTGCACCTACCAGAGGAGCTGACATTTCTTTACACCATGGTGAGGGGCTCATGGGAATCTTTATGAGAGATGAGGAAGTGGCTCCTAGGTGATGTATTCTAATCAAGGTTTGGAGTCATGCTGGAGAGAGGTCAGGTTATGGCTATGGTCCTGCTGTGGACACCAACAGTGGTCCCATCAAACTGCTGTCACACTTCAGCTACTCTGTTAAGCATCAGATTAGTACATTTTCTTGTAACTACGACTGACGAAGCAACTTGAGGAGGAAATGGTTAGATACACTCCACAATAGCAGAGGAGGCGTGGCAGCCAGGGCAGCTCCTGTCCCTGGTCATAGAAGGCTGCTGGCTCTCCTAAGGGAGGACCGGAAAAGAGAGAGGAACACTTGCTCTCTCTTGGCTTTCTCCTTTGCCCCTTTATATTCAGGCTAGGAGGACAACAGCCCATGAGACGGTGCCACACTCACAGTAGGCCATCCCCCACAAGTTAACCCTCTCTGGAAATGCTGCCATCGATGCACCCCAAGGAGGGTTTACTAATGTGCTGGGTGTTTGTTCACACTTGAGCATAGACAAAAGGGCTGAGAATTGATGAGTTCCTTAGCCAATCAAGTTGATAATAAAAATTAATCATCCAGGCAAGCATATAGTTACATGACTATAATCCTAGCACTTGGAGGTGGAGGAAGGAGGATCAGAAGTTCAAGGCTATCCTTAGCCAATAGGGACATTGAAGCCAGCCTGGGCTACATGAAACGCTGGGAAATAACCATCACACGTACTGCCCCACCCCTTCCCATCACTAGCTCCTGGACAAACCTGGACTCTGCGTTATCCCCCAACATCAAGAGAAGTGAGAAGATGACCTGTGGCCTTTTACTTTTTAGTAGGAAGTCAATTTGCCTCCTAGCATTGGGGAGTCCCCGGGCACAGGAAGAGGGCACTCTCCCAATAACAAATGATGTTCTCATGCTGGAGGACAGGGGCTCAGCACAGTACCCTGGGTCACAGGTACCAACTTTGCTCACGGATACTCAGCTGACATACCACGAAGTGTTGCCAGGGATTTGAATTGACTGGAGAGCTGAGCAACTTTTAACCCAGGGTTCACTTTTTCTTGAGCCCCGGTTCTTCTGCTGAACCGGTTGTAAGGTGGCCATATGACAGTCACACTCTCTGATGTGACAGATAACGAGGTTCTTTGCCACCCTGCCACCCACCAGATGCAGGGCTCTTTCTGACCCCTCACAATGTCATAATTTGCATGCACTAAAAGAGTGAGGAAATAGTATATTTAAATCCTGTGGTCTCCATGAAGTCAGAGGAAAAAGCACACTACCACCACCACCACCCCCGCCCCCGTGATTTTGCTGTGAACATCGCAAACCCTGCATTCAGAGTGGCAAGTGGTATAATCTATAGTGCTATTTGACAGGATGGTTCTTCCTAGTTGCTTCTCACCAGAGGGGAAGGCTTGGAGCGGCATGGCTAGAAAAACCATCCATTTTCTGTGAAATAAGGAAAGCGCTAGGGGCCTAAATAGTAAGGTTATCAAATATCTTACACACAAACAGCTACCTTAAATGGACTGCCACACAAGCAATGGTTTTCTCCTGATGGTAATGTTTGCTATTTTAATGTACAATATGGCACTTTGCAGACACAGGAAGCTCGATGAATTTTCCTTGGTGGTGATAACAGCTGGAGCTAACATAAATTGTCTCTTATTTTGGTAACAAAAGGCTTGACATTTATTATTTTCGTGGAAGCCATAGAGGTATTTTTAAAATAGTACACTAAAAATGTGGGTGAAGTGTTAGCCTTACTGGATACCATTACCAATTTTGATGCACTCAAAATAAGATTATGATTATTCACTAAAACACAGTTCGTGCATTCCACTTACCCAACTTCCTGTAATGCCAATGGCTCAAATGTCATAGATTAATCTAAACTAAGGATTAATGGTTGGTAAAAAAAAAAAAAAAAAAAAAAAAAAAAAAAACGTTAAGTAAACTGCAGGCTTCATTTGGATTTCCTATCTTCTCATCTCATAGACACCAATATCAGCTGGAACTGCAGGGTCTCTAAAACTTCAGTAGCAAAACGACATTAATTCAGACTGATTGGGATTAGATACAAGATGGCGTGAAAAGGTCCCAATACCTAGCCTTTTCTGTGCCAAATGCTTAGCATGTTATGCTCTGATTTCATCCTTCCCAGAAATCATGGGGGAGGCACTGGATGTCATCCTATTCGTGTTACAGATGATACAGTCAGCCTTAGGAGGCGAAACAATAGTTGTAAGGCCACTCCATGAGGGGCTAGATCTGGGCTAAGGTCTTTCCCTGTCTCTCAAGATCTTTCCATCCCTACCCCACCCCTCTCTGTATGCATGTGCATGTGGAGGTGAGAGGTCAACCTCAGGCTTCCTTGCTCAGCACTGCCTACCTTACTTGGGCTAAGATCTTCTTATTCCAAGGCCCTGGACCATGGTCACAGAGGTATAAACTGGGGACATTCATTCTGGGTGTGAAACATTGAGCCAGATCTGCCCACAGCTCCACTTCCAAAGGTGGCATGGCTCAGCTATGGCAGGTAACCTCAATGGGGAGGTTGATTGTCCTAAATCAGTAATGAACGGGGTTTTCTGTGGCATGTAGATGTGTGTTGACTACGCAGAGAACACAGAAGCTTCACCTGGGTGAGAGAGGGGCTGGGTGAGGGGGCGGGGCAGCCAGCTCTCCTGCCAGAGCATGGAGAAGCATGTTGCAAACATCCCCACTGCCTTTGGCTTTCCTTTCCTGAGTGTTTTAAGGCTTAATTAATGTGTGTAAAGTGATCTGAAACATGGGAATGAAAAGAGCCAGGGACCCGCAGAGTGCCAATGATTACCTGAGGCCAGACAGCTGTAAAAGGGAACCAGAGGGGGCCTAGAGAGGCTGGGAGAGGGCTCTGCTTAGCAGCCAGCTGGCTGGCTCCATGCCACCTTGGACTGTTTTTGGCAGGATTCGGCCCCATGCCATCCTCTCAAGGTTGACAAAGCAGCTACACTCAGGAGAAATAACTCTTTTGGGACCTCAGCTGGAGTTGAAGAACCAACGTGAAGACGCAAACTGGCCATTTTCCTGAGTCGACCCTATAGTGGAAGAGATAAGACAACACTTACCCACTTGTCTTGTCAAAGCAAGACAACTGCAGATTCCTACATTTTGGGGCCATGAAGGGATGTACACAGAAACATCAAAGAGATGAATGAGTCACAGCTTGCCTCTTGACAGGAGGCACAGTGACAGTCCCATCACCCGTGGGAGGTAGTGAATCTCTTTAAAATGGTGGGTGGAAATAATGAGGTCCAGGGCCCACGCTGTTGCCCCATCTCCTTAGAGTGTTAGTAAAAGGGTACGGCTATCAGTTTCACGAAGGATGTTAAGGCTCATGACTCCATGGAGTGATGACAAGTGGCACCTCATTGTGACTCAAAGCATGCAGAGAAGCAAGTGGCAACTCTTTCTTCCATTCTAAACGGATTCTTACCAGTATCTACCGAGTTTGAGAAGCATCCAGCACAGAGCCCCAGCACATGCCTGTGTACATAGACAGTGGCTATTTATACAGAGGAACCCAAATCGTGATGGTGGAGTTGGCAAAAAAGGGTTGTTTGGGTAATCCAAAGTCTATGTTGGGTCTTCATCATGTTTCAGAGTCCTACTTGGGTTAACTGTTGGGTTGTTATCCATCTCTAGAACCCACAATCGGAGGATGTGGGTTTAGTGATCAGGGTAGAAGAAAGCTTGCTTTCCTGGCTTGTGAGAGAATTCCAGAGGGCTCTGATGGCCTCGAAGTGAGACTCACTTCAAGACCTGGTCTGTGACTATACCTCCTAAATGCCTCCTAAGTGGACTGAGACATCCCTCCAAAAGGCAGGCCCATTTATAACGTCTCTGCCTGAGTAGTTTAAGTGGCCAAGAGACACTGTCAAGCCCAGCCACCACTACCACCACAGTAACTGAGGCTGTTTTTCTCTATACTCCTCACTCCTGACTGGCTCCTACTGTCTGATGTCTGGGATGGGTACAAGAGCACCTGTTGTTAATGGGTCACCAGAGGGTCCTCTGAAGCCACCAGTAATAAATTCCTTCATATCCACATCTAAACTAGGATAATGGTAATCGCCAGTAAGTCACCCTCCCTTCTAAATCATGTCAGATCTAAGTCATCCTCCACTGGGTCCAAGAATAACTCCTACAAAGCTCAGCCTCCTTTGTGTTCAGAGCCATGCTGTTAGCTTGGCTAACTCCGCAGCTTGCTGCTTCAAGACATAGGATAATAGATCAGCCTCCAGAGTTGTAAAACCAGATTTTGTTTTGTTTTAAGACAGAGCCTGGCTCTGTAGTTGTGGCTGTCCTTGAACTCACAGAGATCCACCTGCCTCAGCCATCCAGTGCTGGGATTAAGGGTGTGTGTCACCACACCTGTCTGTCACAGCTAAATTCTTAGAATAAATATCAACCAACATGTCTTCCTCCCTCCTTCCCCTCCGTCTCCTCCCATTCTATGTATTATATAATAATCTTTTTGGTACATTGTGAAGATGTGTCTTTGCCAAGGCACCTTCTGATTGGTTTAAGAAAAGAGCTGACTGGCCAATAGCTAGGCAGGAAAAGGTTAGACAGGAAAGCCAAAATGAGTGACTGCTGGGAAGAAAAAGGACAGAGAAACATGGAGTTGCAAGCCAGATGCAGAGGAAGCAGGAGATAAACATGCTGTGCTGAAAAAGGTACTGCCACGTGGTAGAGTGTAGATAAGAAATATGGGTTAATTTAATGTAATTAAATGTAAGAGCTAGTTAGTAATAAGCCTAAGCTATTGACTGAGCATTTTATAATGATTGAGAAGTCTCCATGTGGTTATTTGAGAGCCAACTGGTGTGACAGAGTTAATTGGTAATCCCAATAGAAAGCCCCACCCTACACCTATAGGTTCTGTTCCTCTGGAGAATGTGAACTAGTGCAAATATTTTATTTCTTAACTTTATCCATTTCATTTAAATTTTTTGACACAGTGTCTCTGGCTATATAGCCTAGAATGACCTTGAATTTCTGATCTTTAGGATTACAGATTTGCATTACCATACTCATTTTATGTTGTGCTGGGAATCTAATTTGGGGTCTCCTGCAAGCTAGGCAAGCAAACTACCTATTAAAGTACACCCCAGTCCCTCATTTATGTATTTAAAAAAAACTGAGCATTTACAATATATCAGACACCTTTTTGTTTGTTTTTGTTTCAAGACGGGGGTCTCTGTAACCCAGGTTGGCCTCAAACCCTCAGCAATTCTGTGAACCTTCCAGGTGCTGGGATTAAAGATGTTAGCTACCATAGCCAGTTCAGACATTTTTATGTTCTTGACACTTCTCAGTGGGGAAAAAAAAGCAAAGATTCTTGGCACTGTGGAACTTCTACTGCGGTGTGTGGAAGAGACAGTGGATTATGAAGATCATAGATCCAAAGTGTCAGAGAGTGGTCAGGGCAAAGAGAGAGGGGAAACAGTAAGATCTGGAGACAAGAGACACTGGGGAAGGGACAGAGGGCTTCCAGGACATAAAGGGTATGGAAACCACAATCACCTTCAATGCTCAAGGGACCCAGGCTTAGGATGTACAGCAATTCTTCATGTGACTGTGTCTCCCTTAGACTGCCTCACCTTTCTGGCCCTCCACAGTTTGGCCATGCTTGAATGCTCCCTCCAGCAGAACATTCCAGAGGACTTTCATCTCTCTGCTCGCCTATGTATCAAGGTGAAGTTACTCAGGGATTAATCCCAGCAGAAAGCTAACAACACCGCCAGACTGAACAGTTCGTAAGAAGAGTCACTGTTTACTGGGCCCAGGGCCTGAGGTCGCCCGACAAAGGATCCAGTTAGGTGCGGCCCAGCAAATGATGCCATTAGGCAAGAGGAAGGAGATGGCATTCTCTGGCCTGCTCCTTCCTGCCACTCTCCACCTCCCCTTTTGTCTTCTTTCTTGGCCATAACCAGACAGCAGCCGACTGACCCGGGATTCTGGGACACCTAGATGGGCAAAAGGAGCTTCAGCAACTCAGAGAAGAAAGCATTTGAGAATGGATCAGAAGAAAACTATCCCCAAGACAGGGACACTTGGCACTCAACCTAGGGCACTAAGGACATAATTTGGCTGCAGTGGTGGAAGGACATTTGTGCTAGTTAGTTTTTATCACAAGCCAGAGTCTCCTGGGAGGAGGGACCCTCAGTTGAAGAATTGCCTCCATTAGAATGGTCTGTGGGTCTTTTCTTAAAATAAAATAAAATAAAATAAAATAAAATAAAATAAAACAAAATCAAAAAGACCCAACTGATTGATGTGGGAGGACCCACAATGCCCATTGTGGGCAACACCACCCCTGAGCACATAGGTATGGATACACACACACACACACACACACACACATGCACACACACACACACACATGCACACACACGTACAGTAACTGAGCAAGCCAGAAAGTAGTGTTCCACTGTGGTCTCAGCTTCAGTTCCTGTCTCCCGGTTCCTGCCTGACTTCTCAGTGATGGATTAGGACCTGGGAACTGGAAAGTGAAACCAAAAGCTCTTCTGCCAGCTGCTTTTGGCCAGCCTTCGGTCACAGCCACGGAAAGACAGACTAGGACCAGATCATTTTCATCCCACAGCCTAGAGTGACGCCTGGTTCAAAGCTTGATCCAGTCATGGCTGGACGAATGAGTGAAGCTGAGAACGAATGGATGGATGGATGGATGGATGGATGGATGGGTGACAGTTTCTTATCACTGACACCACTCCTGGTTTGCTTCAGCCTTGCCCTTTGCTTAGTACAGGGGCGGCCTTGCGGCATCATACCGTTTCCTGCCAGTGCTAACGTGGCTTGGATCCGAGTGTTCACACCGTTTTAAGGCCACACGGATGGTATAACTATAGTATCATAAGAGTCTTTCTACAAAGAGGCCAAATAAACCTGTCAAGTGAACTTGACACAAATCCTCCCAAGCAGTTCGCCAGGAAGGTACACACACCCACACCTTCCCATGCCCCTGCCCTGACGAGCACCTTCCTCAGAAATGGACTCCCTTTCTGATGTTGCTGTCAGGCTTGCAGCCCTTCACCTGGTTAGCAACAGGTTGGCAGGCATCATGAGGAGTGACAGAGAGGAGGAGGAGGAAGTGGAAAGCCACAACAGATCTGTCTGCTGGCTTCCCCGCAGGTGCAGGAGAGCTGAGACGTGACTCCCTGAAGGCCCGTTAGACTCCAGGTGCCACTTAGGTCGGCACCAGGGCATCCTGGATCACACTAATGATTCACCTTATCTAAGATACTACTTGACACCTTGGGGTTTACAACGTCTTTCAGAGGGACACTAGAAAGTGATCAGTTTCCACTGGGGAAATGTGCCCCGTGGGTCAAGTGGAGTTAGTTCTGTCCCCAACATAGAGCAAAACAGTGCGTGTGGGTGACTGTGGCACTGCCCAGCCTTGAGCTGGAAACCCAGGAGGAAAATCTGAACAGCATAGCTTCTGCCAACAAAACATCTCAGCAGAGACTAAAATATTCTCAATCAGCTTCATGAGGCCCTGCTGTAGGCTGGGGCTCTGCTATAGGTAAGAAAGGAGGAGGCCATAAATCTACCTGCATTCCCACAGCATTTGCAGAGAAGGAGTTGATGGGCGCAGACGTCTGCTTGGAAGAATAGGACTTGCTGAAAGTGTGGGAGGCTTGACACGGGCATTCCAGCTGCACTGCTCAGCAGCTGGGTGACTTTGGATCCGTCCTTACCTGGCCCTCCATTGCCTTCTTCGAAAGCTGGGAATTATGTGTTTTCTATTGGAGATACGGTAAAGGTCACAGACGTACTGTGAAGATGGATGAAGGTACCATATTACAACAGTAGGTATGAGAAGAGGTTCCTGTGATGTTTAGTTAATAATGTTTTAAAAATCTTTCATTCCATTTAGCTAGCCACCGTCGGAAAGGTGAGGGCATCAACACTTTTCAAAGGGATGCTTTCCGCTCTGAAATTAGAAGTCAGAAGGCATGGTTTTAATTTTCTTCTTGGTGGAAACCATGGCACCATTGCTATTAGCAGTCTGGACAGAATCATGACCTTCTAACGGGGTGGTATCGAAGACTGAAGCATACGTTCAGTTGCCAAACCTTTCAAACAGGCTTCCCCAACTAAAGCACTGTTACCGCAAATCAGGAGCTGATGGGATCGTCTTCAAGGAGAACCTGCAAGGTTTAAGGTACCTTCCAGGTGGGCTACAGTCAATGCAGAACCAAAGGCTGCTAGAGAGCCCCCAAAGGGGGGAAGTGGGGTGGGGGTGGGACTGGAAACAGAGGTTGGGTGAACTCCTGCAAAGGAACAGCTTTCTCCTGTTGAGAAAGAAAACTAGATTTTTTTTTTTTTTACAGTACCCCTGATGGCACATGAGCTGATCTGTGAATCAATCTAGGATCATAATTTACTTTTGGTTTATGGGATTTGTGAATTTTCACATTTGTTTTAATTTGTAATTAAGTTTTCTCTACGAGGCACACCATATGCCACCATTAATTCTCTCTTGTTGATTTCTTAGGAGATACATGAGTGCATATTTTGATGTAATTTTGGAGGTCTTTTGAAAATCAGATGACTACGTGGTGAGCCATATGGGGCTTTGTTATTTAAAACACAAATTATAAAGCTCGAGAAAGCAAAATGCAAAAAGAAAAAAAAACTGTTAACGGGGAAAAGATTGGAGAAAACTGGTTTCAAGCGCACGAACTGTCCACTTTTCCCCCCTAATATTCTGAAATCTCCGAGGATCCCGCGATGTCTCTTACCTTCTGTGAGCGCACTCTATACCACAGGTGCACGGAGCAAACCTCCCGGCCACGTTTGTGCTTTCCACCCGGGCTGCAGATTCTAGCATCTGCCTTCTGGGAGTTCGACAGAAGCCAGCGTCTTTCTTTGCACACCCAGGCTTTGGCACTGAACTCGGTTTTCTCCGCACCCACGGCGGCTCGGCTTTCTCACTAGTGCTTTCTCGGGGCTCCCC